CTGAACATAACCATACCCACCGCCTGCCGAGGATCCCGAATATCGATCTCCCAGGCAGCGGTTATGGATAACTCCCCGCCTTGGGCTCCCGCACACCTCCCCTCCTCCTGATCACCTCCCATCCCTGTTCCACGTCTAGCGTGTGGGAGTGGAGAAAGAACTTGTTTGTTACTTCCGGTGACGGTCGTTACCCAGAGGGGAGGGAGGGTTTTGGGCCCCAGGTAACGGTAACGCTCGGGAGGGATGGGTCACGTCGGGGCGGGGGTGCGCTGCGATCGCCATGGTAAGAAGAAGACACAAAGACATAACCATAAACTTTTGGCGCTCCGCGCGGATAGTTTGGATCTGAGATGGACCCCCCTCCCTGGCCTGCGGAGCGCGCCAGGCGCGGCGATCGAGGCGCCGCTGGGGATCCAAGACACCCGCGCGGAACGCCAAACATCTGTGGTTATGGCGTCGGTTCTTCGAAGAATACGCGCGCAAGCACCAACATGCCAGGGGGGGTCCGCCCTGAGCCCCCCCCCTTGGCCAACCCCCCCGACGCACGAGCGTTACCACTACCAGGGTTCTGGGTACCGACCGCTGCAAGCCAGAAGACCTAAGACGACAGTCCTCGAGGCGGCGGGCCATAGAACCGCTGCGTGCGGCCGGCGCTGGCGCCTCCCGACGGGGCGGATGACACAGTCGAGAGGTTTTTGCTGCTTACAGCCGCAAACGCCCACCAGCTACCGCAGCTCCGGTGTCGTATTGAATCCGCATCCTCTCCAGGGTGCTTTGACAGCACCCAGCGTAAAGCTCAGAAGCGTGACGACACGCAACGAACATGTCACGTTGACGCAGTCGAAGCGTGGCAGCAAGAATGCGACTCCAGAGGATGGCGGGCCCCTGCGACGAAGGCCCACGGCACCCCCCCCAGCGACGCCCTGGACGAAGGGCCTTCCAGGAGCCCAGGGACACACCATGAAATACACACACAAATCCCAGGATCCTCGATGTTTTCCAAATGTTCCCTGGGTTTTCGTCTTCCCCCCCACATCCCATCGGTTCCCAGATTCTCCTGGGGGTCGACGATGAGGTGAGCCTGTGTGTTTCTTTCCCCCCTGAGCCATTCCGGGATGGGGGGCCCAGGCGCGCAGTTGAGAAGCAGAGGGCCCCCCCCCTGCTGGGGCCCGACGCATGGCGGGGGTCGAAGCATCGCGCCGCATCGCCGATGCATCGGCATCGGCGATGCGGCGCGACCTCTCGACCCCTGCCTGCGCGGATCCCGCTTCGGAGGCCTGAGAAGAAGGGTATCCCTGCAAAGCTCGACGTTCTGCCTCAGAAGTCTCTTCCTGGGCCATGGGATCGTCGGACACGACCGGGAAGAAAAAACGAGCTCCCAGGAAGGGGTCAAGACCACGAACAAAGATTGTAAGCCTGGGGACGAGAGGGAGGACACGAGAGGCCACAACTATGCCACCTAACAGCACGAGCCCTTTCGGAAATGGCCGACGGTCCGTGGATACGTACCAGACGAAGGGCATTCCGAATTAGTGGAGGGCCCAGGCATGAAGAACATGAGGGAGCATGTCGGCGGCGAGCGAGGGGGGGAAGTGAGAAGGAGAAGGCCTTCCCAGAGGGTTCGGCAGTCCACCGGTCTCCTGAGAAGTTTTCTAAGTCTTCCCCGAAGAAGCCAAACACTTCTCAGAAGGCGCGAGGGCTTCTGAGTAGTCCCGCCGCCTTCTGTCAAGACCTTTTCCTCCTCATTTCCCCCCCCCTCGCTCGCCGCCGAGCATGAGCACCTTGGATCAGACCTCGAGTAGATTTCGGGCCATCCCTCTGGCCGTGGGCGGCCGTCTGACACAATCAGAAGCTCCCTTGCAAACTCGCCGGCGGGGCGGAGACACGATCACAGAGGATGGTCCCTTGGAGAGACAAGAGAGCATGCAACGGGCCACGACATGGCCCGGGCGCCCCAAGTAATTCCGCGTGGTCCGTTATTTCCGGCGCGGCGGGATGGACACCCCTGGCAGCCCGCCCAGTGGCGCGGGCGTTGGACCACGCCCCCTTCTCATCATTGCCACATTCACACGGGCCGTCGGCACTGCGACGATCAGCGTTGACAGCGCTGCGCCCTATCAGAGTCGTCGCCGCGGCAAACACAAACCGGCTCGCCAGCGGCAGCCGACAAGCATGGGCGGCCAGGAGAACGACGCAGGGGCGCCGAAATTGTCCGCGCGAAATTGCCCGGACGAAGTTGCGCGTACGAACTCGCCCCAGCACAATTTCGTGAAGCATTTCGTTACGCATTTCGTGCTGGAGCTCGCGCGGAGCAGAGTTGAGTTCGTGCCACACTCCGTGCCTGATTTCGTGCCTCATTTGGTGCCGCACTTCGTGCCTCATGTCGTGTCCGTGCGGAGATAATTGGAAGCTCGTGCAGGAAAGACATCGTGTGGGGGCCACGCTCGCTTTGCGTGTGCACGGCACTCGCCATCTGCCAGGGACCACAGCAGACGTGTCACGCTACGCGCAGGCATGACAGAACATGACGGCCAACTACCACGGGATCGGTGGAACACAGCACGCGGCCAGCGGATCCCACCGCGCGTGGCAGCGCCACCTTCGCAGTCAAAGCAACCCCATTTTCGTTTGGAAAGTGCTTGTGGGAAAAAACACAAACACACACACACACACGAAAAAACACACACACACACAAGTCTGTGTGTGTTTGTCCTACATGTCTGTGTGCTTTTCCCCACGGTAAGTGTTTTTTGCGAGTGTGTGTGTGTGTTTTTTTTTTGTGTGTGTGTGCGTCTGTGTGTGTGTTATTGCACGCCCCCATGTTCGTTGCCAAGGGTTGGACAGCGCAGAAGCCGGTGGAGACAAGCCCACACCACGATCTCCAGGAACCGGGAAAAACTTAGAACAGTCCCCGCACGGACAGAACTGAGGCTGTTCTTGCAGCAGGTGTCCAGCCATCCGCTTTCCAATCTCCCCCGAAGATGGCCAGAGAGTCGCCCAACACCCTCTGCGTGCTGCTTTTTGTGCACGCAAGGCTTTCAAACTCTGGTCTTTCTGATGGTTGTTTCAGTCGGGACGCGTTCGGTGTCTGAAAATGGTATTGCCGCTGCAGCGTTGGTCTCATTTCAGGATCGACGCTTTGCTCCCGTCGTTGACAATGCCGCTCTCACGCCCAAGCTTGGGCCACTAGTTCTGGATCCGAGCCGTTCCCCATCGTTGTCGCCCCCTTCTTTCCCCTCCCTGGTCCTCCTGCTCATTCCGCTCCTTCGACTCTAGCTTCTGCTGCTGCTGTTGTTCGTCCACGTCCTCCTCCTCCTCCCTCATCCTCAAGTTCTTCCTGCTCATCCGCCGCCTCCCCCTCCAATGAACGCAGATCCCCCTTACCGATCTAGCATAACGATGTGGTCCTTGAAGCCCCCGAGATCACCCCAAGAGGCCTCGAAGAGGGTCCCAAGACGGCACAAAGGCCCCAAGACGGCACAAGAGGCGCCCAAGACGGCCCAAGAGGGTCCCCCAATGCCGAGATTTCGAGCATTCCGCCACAAGGCGGCCCCTGAGATCGCCAGCAAGCCCCCAAGGAGTCCCAAAGAGGCCCAGAAAAAAACCCAAGAAGCCCCCATCCGGCGCGAAGAGGCTTCAAAACTGTCTCCAAGACACTCCCCGGAGGCTTCCCAAGAGACCCCAACAAGCATCCCAGAGGCCACTGACCCATACTCCAGACACGGCGGCAGGATGGGCCGAAGGCCACTATGTACGCTTCCCCCTGTTGTTTGCCACAAGGGTGCACGGTGTGCCAAACGTCGTGCAAAGTTTGGTTCTTCTCTAAGAGATCTTCCACTGGGGCTTCGGCCAAACGCGCCGGCCAACCGGAATGCCTGGGCAAATCCAGAGCGCAAATCGCCTTCAAGACAGCCAAGATGATCCCAAAGACGGCAAACATGGCCTCCAAGACGGTTAAGATGGCCCCAAGAGAGCAACATTTTTGTTGTGACGACGTTACCAGCAACGCGCAGAAGCAGTCTGTACGTCTCTCCAACGACCGAAGAATTGCTGATTCTGCATCGCAAGCACTGCAGCCGTTCCACCCGTGCCTTCCCCCCGATTTCTGATCTGGCGCGCAACCCCCTCCCACTCTGAAGCTCAGCTCCATTAGATGCGGCGCTGCTCCGGCTTCGTGACGGACATTACATGTGTAATGGCAACGCTCTCCAAGCGCGAACCGAACGAAAAATCAGATCACCCAATCCACATGGGCGTCCGTCTCCACAGAAACGCCGCCAGGATGGGCCGAATCGCACAGAGAGTCACAGAGGCAAAGTGAAAACCGTCTCTACTTAGGATCTGGCCAACTCTGCGCAATTCCGTGTACTCATGACGAAACACAACACATGAAATGTGTACCAGTGGCATGGAAACACTTATCAAGAGGAAGATGAGGAGGGAGGGGAGGAAGAGGAGGAGGAGAAAAAAGGAAGGGGAGTAAGAGGAAGGGGAGGAGACGACACGCTAAAATCTTCAGAGAAATCGTGGGCTGCAGGCCGTAGCGACAGCTGCTGCACCCGCGCGGGACAGAGGCAAGGCATCCAGCTGCTCGTCCCAGGGGCGCGGGCCCCAGGGGTGCTGGCGGCTGGGCAGCTTCTGCTTTTTGTTGTTTGGTGATGGTGGTGGCGGCGATGACGATGACTACATGACGCGGAGGGGGATGAACTGATTGTGGCGATGACGCGGCTGGCTATGCCGTAAAAACTTCGGCACCAACGGCTGGTGGTACCAGGGGGGTCGGGTCCCAAGATCTTCCCTTCAGGTCCACTCGCAAGCCGCGCCGTGGCGGAGAAACTGCAGGCATAGGAGAAAGGCGAGGTCGAGAAGGGATAGGATGACGCCGACCGCAACACGGCCAGCTGCCGCAACGCGGCCGAGGGCGCCCATCATCGGCCAGTTCGCGAGCCAGGAGCTGTTACCTCGCAAAATGGTTCCTCTCTTGGAGTGCCCGACACAGCCTACTCCACGCGATAGACGACGCGCGCCGGCGCTGCGAGCCCGGCCCAGGGCGCCATGTGCGGGGAGCCCCGCCCCGCGCGCCGCTCGCCGTGCCCCGCGGGGGCGGGGGCGGAGCGCGCCGCCAGCGCGCGGCGGACCGCGGTGACCTCGGGGTCGTCCGTGGAGCACTGCAGCGGCAGCTGGAGGGCCAGCCTGCGGTAGGCCTCCCTGACGGCGAGCCTCTCGGCCGCCGCGGCCGCGGGGCGGTGCTGGGCGGCGCGGGCGCCAAGGGCACAGGCCCGCAGCGCGCTGGTCGCCACGGCAGGCTGTAGCATGGCGCGGCCCAGGCGGTGGGCGGCGGGTGCGCTCTGGCTGTGTCCGTCCCTGCACCCGTGAGCCGCCTTGGGCCAAAATGGCTACGGGCCCCAAGAGAGCAAGAGATGGCCACAGGTTGCCTCCAAAAGTCCGCACAAGAGGCCACCAAGGCGGCCCAAGCTTGCCTCAAGATGGCCCACGACGCCCCAAGAGGCCCCCAAGAGGTCCTCCAGAAGGCCCGACGAGGGCAAAATACTGTATTGTCCTTGATTTCCCTGAGATCGCCCCAAAGTTGTTGAATTGCCTCCCAGATGGCCCCACGACGGCCCAAGAGGCCCCTAATACGGCCCAAAGAGGGCCCCCGAAGGCCTCCAAGACGCCCAAGATGGCCTACATGACGGCCCTGAAACGCTCAACGAGGGCCCCAAGTCGGTTCAGAGAGGCCCCCATGACGGCATCCGACGGCGTTAGACGGGCCAGGGACGCTCGAAGACTGCCAAAGAGGCCCCCACGAAATTCCCAAGAGGTTCACGGAGGCCCCCAAGAGGCTTCCAAGAGGCCTCTTGGAAGCTCCCAGGAGGCCCCAATAGCCCACGAGTGCCCGAAGAGGCCTCCTCCTCCCTCCTCCTGTTTCCTTCCTCTCCTCCTCTTCCTCTCCCTCCCCCACGTGTTCCCCGAAGGGCTTCCACGACGGCTGGGGGAACGCATGGCCCAATGGCGTGTCCAAACCTGGCCCAAGCGTCTGGCCACACGGGCGTATCCCAAAGGCAGGGTGCGGCGGTGCTTCGCCGCAGGCGCCCTCGACAACCACATCGGAAGGATCGCCCATGCGTTCTACATCCGAAGACCCCGGCCCTCTGGCGGCGCTGGCCCCGCCCGCGAACGCCCGCGGCGGGTTCGCCGCCGCCGCGTCGGCGCGGCGCGAGCCTGCCACTCAGGACCAGCCAACACCGCAGCGGGAACTCGGATCGAGGCGGACCGTGCGGGTCGCACGGGCACGGCGTCGGAGTCGGAAGCGAACGGGGTCGGCCGCGCCGGGATGTCCCAGGGCGCCGTGCGGGCGGGCATCGGGCCGCCTCGCATCGCCACACCATCTGCATCGAGAGGCAGCCAGAAGGGCCCTGCTCCCGGGAGGCTGTGCAGAGGACTGCCCGAAGAGGGAGGCGGCACGGGCCGCAGGGCACTGCCCGTGAGAGGCCCAGGCTCTCGCCCCCCGGGCGAAGCTCCCCGCCCGCATCGACCTAACGCCCCTCGCCATCCCCCTCCCCCATCCCGCTCCCGCTGCTCCTTTTCCTCCTCCCCTCCTGCCCCCTACCCTCTTCCCACGATGTCGATGTCCGTGACTTGGACACGCGCGGTGCGCGAGCTCGCCCTTCCAATGCGTCGTGTGAGGTTGCACGGAATATGGGTCTTGTCCGTGCAGTTGCGTCGCCTGGGCAATGCCGTTGAGCATCGTTGCGAGGCGTGGGACAGTTGGACTGGTCTGGAGCACGTCGTCGGCGAAGCGCAGGTTGGTGAGTACGCATCATGGGGCATGTCCAAGTTGTATGCCTGTGCCCTTGTTCTGCCACGCGGTGACCACTGCGGCGAGAATGTATTGAGAGACTGCGTTGAAGAGTAGAAAGCTCAGCGGTTCGGTTTGCTTGGTGCCTCGCTCAAGGCTGAAGGGTCTGCTATAGACCTCAGACTTCATTGTTGCTGCTTGTTCCTGATCTACCTGTTGGAATACTGAGATATACCCCGGTCGGACACCTTGCCCCTGCAGTGCTGTCCAAATGCTGTTGTGCTCGACTGTACCGAAGGCCGTCTGGAAATCAAATGCTGCTACCCAAACGTTCTGGTTCCACTCTATTGCGCGCTCTCGTGGTCAGTCGTTGAATATCCTGGTCTGAAACGAGCTCGATAAGCAATCCCTCCAGCCCTTTGGGCGTGAGAGGTCTAGAGCGTTTGCTCTGTTACCCCTCCTACTTCCCCTTCGGGGAGGGGTTTACCCCTCCCCCTGCCCCCTCCCCTGGACCTGGACGGGGGGTTCCGCGACGCGTTGGAGCGTCCAAAACGGCCTCGGCGAGGAAGCCAAAATCATTGGTTTTACTACGGTCTTGGCCCCATTTGGCCTCCTGATGGGGGGGAGGCTAATTTAGCCCCCGCCCCTCCTGTGATCGATTTCCTCCCAGATGGCCCCACGAGGCGCCCAGGAGGCCCCAAGAGGCCTCGAGATGGCCCCAAGATGGCCCCGTGTGGCCCCAAGAAGCCCCCAAGAGGCCCCCAGGATGCCCCCAATAGGCTCCCAAGAGACTCCCAAGAGGCCCCAAGAGGCCCCCCCAAGAGGCACCCAAGACGCTCCAAGGGGCCTCGGCGAGAATGCTAACACCATTGATTTAACTACAGTGTTGGCCACATTTGGGCCTCCTGGGGGGGGGGGGGGCACTGCTTCAGATGACTCCAAGAGCGCCTGGAAGACCCCAAGATGACCTCCAAGATGGCTCAAGATATGCCAAATTGCCTCAAGATGGCTCCCACGATGCTCCAAGAGGCCACAAGACCGATTCAAGACGGATCCAAGTGGCCAAAGAGCTCCCCCAGGACCCGAAGAGGCCAAAATCCTACCAAAAACTTAGGAAAATCAATGGTTTGGGCTTTATCGCCTTTTCGCTTCCGATGGCCATCCGAGGCTTCAAGATGACTCCAAGATGGCCCAAGAGGGCTCCAAGAGCGCTCCCAAGGCTCCCAAGAGCGCTTCAAGAGGACCCCAAGAGGCGCCCAGGAGGCCCCAACAGGCGCCCCAGAGGCCTCCAAGAGGCCCCCAAGAGACCCCCAAGAGGCCCCAAGAAGCTCCCTGAGGCACCCAAGACGCTCTAAGAAGCGTCGGGGACCGCCAAGAGGCCCCCAAGACGCTCCAAGAGGCCTCCACGGGGGGACGGGACCCTTCCGCTGTGTGCTGCCCACTTCCCTGATCGAGGCACTTCCTCTGGGCATCGTTTCTGGATAGGCTGGTGGGGTTTACTTTTTTTGTCACAGCCGCAGGCGAATGCGCCAGTAGTGGGTCGGCTGGTGGGGTTTACGCGAGGCGTCTAGAATTCGGTGATAATCGAGTGTTGGCTTGAGTCGGATGTAAAATAGTCGGCAGAAAAACTTGTACAACAATGGTATCGAACAAATCGGCCGGCAACTTGATGCAAGTGTTGGGTCCTTACCTTTTGAGATGACTGTGACGAGGGTACTCTTCAAGCTGCTTGGTGGCGGTGCGCTTCGCTGGATGATGGTGTCGTAAAGGTGGAGAAGTGCGCGCTTGAGTCCTCGGCGCTTTCTATACAGCATCTCTGCGCCGGAGCTCCTCGGCACTCGAGGAGATCGAGGGGAGGAGACAGAGGGGAGGAGATCGAAGGGAGGAGGGGGAGGGAGAACGAAGAGAACTCCCGTCCCTCCCCCCTGAGATCCGATGTCGTGATTTTTTCAATACGGGGTCCCCGGAAGTCTCGACCCATTCCCTGGGACCGGTTTTTCATCCCGAGATCCGTTTTTTGACGGTCCCGAGGCCCGGCGAGGGCCCCCAGGGGTTGAACTCTGCGAAAAACCTCCGCCTTGATTTTTTCAATACGTTGGATCTCTGGGCCCCCTCCTGCCCCCTCCCCGCCGCCCCCCGTGTCCCGGTAGCCCTGCCGCACGTCGCTGCGCACCAGCGTCTCCGCGTGCTCGCCGCGCCAGGTAGCCAGCAGCTGCCTGGGGGGCGCCCCTCTTTTTGCAGGAGGAGGACAGCCAGGCCAAGGACAGAATAACTGAAGGGGCCCTGGGACACGCAAGTAAATACACACAAATAACAGGATTCCCAATATTTTCGCATATTTTCTGGGTTTTTGTCTTCCCCCCCCCCCCACACTTTCCATATTTTCCCATAGTTTCTGGGAAATCGACGATTAATTGTGTCTGTGTTTTTTTTTTATCCTCCTGAATCACATCCTTCAAGAACACGAGGCCCTCCGCTGGCCAAAACACGCAGAACATCCAAGGGTACCCTCCCCAGGGTGCGCAAGAGCACCAAACAAGCATACACATAACATCAGGGTGCCCTCTGCAAGCCACCTCGGTCCTATACATCGGTCCGGAGAAGAAGCCAGGACAGGGACAACACCAGACAGGGATGATCGGACATGTCTGAGATCCAGCGGTTCTGAGGGATGCATCGGGCACCGCGGCATTTTCAGCGTGCTCCAGAACGCCCTGGGAGCGCTCTGGAACGGATCTATCCGCGTCCCAGCCCCACTCGGATGGAGACATACGAAAACCTGAGGAGGCAACTCCGAAGAGGTTTCCGTAAACGCGGACACGGGCTAGTAAGCCAGATGAAGGGACCATTGAGCCAGAGTAGCGAAACCCTGGATTAACCTTTACTAAACGGGAACAAACGGCATTAGGAGGAATTGCGCGAGGGTTCAACGGATCAGGCCAGTTTTCGACAACGGATTCAAAATCGCGTAACTTCCAACGAGTAGCATCCTGAGAGGATGTGGGCACAGGAACAGATAACACATATTACTACTTAAGTAAGTTGTTGCTTCTAACGATCCCCACTCCTGACCTCCAACGGTTGAACGACTCAATGCAGCGACTCTTCGTTTGTCCGGCCCGCCTCTGGGCGCCCTTTCTGAGCCGCGGGCCCGTCAAAAGACAGGGCAGTTTTTAATCAATTGGATGTTTTGAAATATTGGATTTTTAATGATGGTGAATGTATGAATGCATGTATGCATGAACTAATCGTTGTCTTTAATACTAAATCCCTGCATTTCTAAGACATGATCCGCACGCGGAACATGTATTAAAAACGGCACTGTACGGTCGGGAGATTTCTCATAGCGTGTGGCGGCGGCGTCGCGGCGGCGGCCCCTGCGACTCGCTATGATAGCGTGTCTCTCCGCTCCGCGGGGCGGGAGACAACTGGTGCTCGGGAATTGGGGGCGAGATCCACGTGTCGAAGAGAAGCGTGGTGGGCCAGAACCCGCGGCGCCACACGCTAAGCAAGTGCGCCCGACTGGAAACACTGACATTGGAAGGTTCGCGCGGGTTACGAAAACCATGTGGGATCTTCTCTAGAACAGGAACATAC